CTAATTCCTTCTGAACAGAGTTTTTTGAATACATAACTTATGTAGGGATATAACTGAGACGAAATTTAATAAATATAGGATATTTATTCTGCTAAATGGTGGGATATGACTTAGTGGATATAACTGAGGTTTATTGTAGGTTTTACTTATTGGAGGGATAAGTAAACAAAACGCTGGCTCTGAGTTTTGTTGCTTTATTAAAGACAAAGGGTAGTGCTTTTATACTTTTGAACTATTATTGTGTACATAATGGATATATTTCGCTAATTCTACTAACTTTCATTAAATCCGCTATAGTCGATAAATTCACTATATGCTAGCAACGTGCTTGCTGTAAGTATAAGCACTATTTATTTACTAAGCTTATAATAAAAGAAATAAAGTTAGATAATATATTTGTTAACTAATGATTGTGTAAACAAATACTTAAGTTATTTGTTTTTTTTTTGTTTATTAATTAAAAACCTTGTTTATCCTATTTAATGTTTTCTTATTAGTATTGATTTTTAATTATGTGTATAATGATTATAAAGTGACATATTTAAGTTACTCATTTTGTTATTTGATTTAGTTTTATTTAAGTAGAAAACAAATGTACTGGTGAATTATACCGAATTAACGGCATTAATGAAAAGGCTAAAGAAGTAAAAGAGGAGATTTTGGAATTCAAAAATGAAATAAAAATCTGGGTGCAACGAAAGAGTCAATTAGAAGCCGCCAAAACGAATGTAAATAGTATTTACTCATCGGATGATCCTCCTAAAGATCAAGATTATAAATATTATCAAGAAAAGTACGCCATAGCTCATGAATACATTTCTGGCTGGAGCAATTGTATAGATGACATTCAAGATTGTCAAATAAAGTGTGATGAGCTTGAAAGGCTTTTTGACGAGTCTATTCAGAAACACAAAGACATTATGACAAAAACCCTTGATCAACTTACAAATTTGAATTTATCAGATGGGAATTTATATTCCTATTTCTATAAGTGCTTCAAGCCATTCATTTGTTGTAGTTTTGGCTTTTTCTCAAAGTAAGTTAGCGTTCATCGCTAAATACCGTATTTTGCGGAATATATCCTCATAGCATAATACGTTTTGACTTTTAGTAATCTTGGTGTAAAAGGTCTGGATATAATTTACGGTATATAATGTAATAAATTTGCAAAGTATCCGCATCTATTTTAAATACTAGTAATAATATTCAACATCAATACCTCCTTTAGAATAGCACTCATAATATTCAACATCAATACCTCCTTTAGAATAGCACTCATAATATAGTAACTGGGTATAAATAAATACACT